ATATATATATATATAGAGAGAGAGTTGTGTTTAGATTACTCGTATTTGCATATTTGTACTTTGTACTTGTACTGAAGTGAGGCATGGTTGGCTGGCATTTCGTGGCACGAATTGGCCTAGCGGCGGTCCGGGACTTCCGAGGCAGCTGGTCACGCTTGGCCAAGTAGCTTGGAACGTTATCAGAGTCTTTCGGTGGTTTTAGGATTCTGGGGTTTGCTAGGATTCTAGGGTTTTCTAGGATTCTAAGGTGTTCATGCCATTTTTAGCTTGTTTGAGGGTGTTGAGGGTTGAGAAGCTGCGCAGCCGACCCAAGGACCCTTTTCAAGCTCAATCCCGAGCCCACCGGGACGAATTTGATGGAGCAGAGCATCAACGATGAGGATGAGCAGTGCTCACCGACTCCTCCAACAATCCTTAGCAGCCTTAGCAGGTTTAGGGCGTTTTTGCGATGAGATCGAACAATCCTTTTGATCACCTCCATCGAAGCCCATTCCGGAATCATGGCCCATTCGGCCGTCCGCGGAATGAAGCTGAAAGAATGCAAACACACCTCCCGCCTCCCAGGAGGATGGACTTCTGTGCTGGGTGGCGGACGCTTCCTGCTGGGTGGAGGACACTTCGACAGACCGCAAGATGGGCCTCCCACTTGTGTTCATCAGCGGCTGCCTCAGGCGTAGAGTCGTAGAGTCGGTGTTCAGAGACAGAGCGCTGGGGTTGCTTCGGTGTTGGGTGTGCTGCAGGCAGACTCAGCCTCAGCATGACTTGGCTCAGGTCAGTCACTCCAGAAGTTGACGGGCTACTCCAGCGAGTTTGCACTGGCTCGGATCCACGGCCTGTACCTGCTTCAGGCTTACCTGCACCAAAGTAAGGAGGCTTGCAGTTCACGTGGAAAGCTCCTGGTGTTTTGACATACAAGCCCCGACGCTCAAACTTAGATCTTGACCATTCATCCCACGGCCGTTTGACTCCAATGTTCACTAGCTGTACGATGGGAGGATTTTATACATTGGCCCAACGTACAACGAAACTGAAGACAAGGCCATAGAAGTGAAACTTGTAAGTCCCAGAGCACCTTGTTTGCCTCGAATCTGAGGAACGTGCAACTCTTTCAGCCGCTGCCCAAGATTTCAAGCGACGTGGGGTGCTTGCATCAGCGGCTCCAAGCTAAAGCTCAACAGGTTTCGGGACGGTGGCCAGAAAGAAGGGAATGCAAGCAATTGAAGAGTCGTCATCAGGAGGACAACCTTAGTTACCTAGACCCGTGACCATCAGCAGCATGACTGCTACTGTATCATCTTGACAGAACTTGCTGTCATGATGCTGTAACCGACCTCAAGCTGGAGTCAGATTTGATCTGTGTGGAAAGCAAGGGCACGTCAAGGCTTTGATCGTACTTGTAAACGTAGATCAAATCCCTAAGCCCTAGGCTCTCGAATCCAAAACCCTGAACCGTAAATCCAAAGGCCGAAGAAGCAGCGCATCGACCAAGCCATCAACAACGAGGAGTTTGCATCTCAGCGCTCGCTCCTGTAAGTGTTAAATCAAATACAAACATAGGTATTAGCATGTCTATGCATTCATTTTATCATTGCCCACTTTCCATACAGACATAGATGAAGTTTCCTTATGTTTAGACCGTATACCCGTATCTTGATGAGTTTGCATATGTTTGATTTACTTGCTTACTTGTTCACCATGTTTGTCACTCTAAACACGTAGTCATGTATATCATATTTGTAAATGTTGTGTATCAGCCATGCGTGCATATATGTATATGTACTGGTGCTATGTGTGTATGTATATATATATATATATATGTATGTGCGTATGTACCCGTGCTCTATGTGCGTTTGGATTTATTAGGTTTTTGGTCTGCTCGTTTGTTGGTCTGCCTCTCTTTTCTTTCTCGTTTGACCGTTCGCTCTCCCTCTCTCTCTCTCTCTATCTCTCTCTCTCTCTCTCTCTTTGGTCCTCTCTTTTGACTGAGGCTGGAACCTGATTGTGTGTTTCGCTGTAAGAGGTGCAGCTGAGCTTTGCCCCAACAAGAAATAGGCAGAAGTTGACAGGCATCCGGACTGTACGCGATCATTCCTCTCACTTTTCCTCTCATCCTCCTCCAGATTTGCAGGCTGCACGACAGTAGGGTTCCCTTTCCATTCTGGTACTCACATAAAGTAATTCAGTAGCCCTCTTGAGCTTGGAGCCCCAGGCCTCAGCGCATCGAGGCCTTCAGCTCGCAGACGAGGCTCAAAGTGGTCCTCCGGGTCTTCTGGGTTCACAGCACCGGGCTTTGGACTAGCTCTAGGACTCTAGGGCATGCAGGACCGAGACAGCTTCAGAATCCTACAACTGGACTCCACCAGAAAAGAGCCTTTTGCCGGTGTTGAGAGGGCTGAATGTGATGCCTATAGCTCTCCACGAGGTCACATGGCGACAGCATGGCCTGGGGCTCAAGTGCTATAAGCGCACCCGTGGTTTCAGAAGGGTCTTCTATGGTCGTGTGATGCCCGGAGATGATGAGATGAGTCATTTCGCCCGTAGGAAGTCAGAGTGACCAGGCTGTCCTCTGCAGCCTGCACTCGCACGGATCGGGAGCTCCGCCCATAGTATATATATATATATATCTATATATCTATATAAGTCACCTATGGATGCCCGTTTACGGGCTGCCTCTGCTCGCGGAGACGCTCTCTTCCTGCGACCTTCATCTGCGAACCGCAGTCATCAGAGTGGCAGGAGAAGACAAGGCCACATCATGTGAGCAAGACAGCTAGAAGCGACCCCAAACTTCAACAGCATTGCATCTCTGTCCGCCTTCAACCGGAAATGTAGGTGGCGGGTGGCGAGGCAACGTCCCCCTCAGCTTTCGGGTGCTACTGCCCTATCCCATCTCTGCCCTGGCCTATGGCCTAGACGGTACTATAGGTGCGTTAATCAAGCGCCGACATGCATCGGTAGATGTACGAACCGGGTGTGCCATGCATCGTTGGCATGTCGCTACGGCCTTTGCTGCAGCTGCTGCCGCCATCTGCGTAGCGCTCCTCCTCAGGTGCGTACTGCAGGGGGGTTGAAAGACATTGAAAGACCAGGACTACCCTTCCGTATAGGGCTCCAAACATGTATAGTATAAACTATTCTGATTCTTTGGGGCATAATTAGCTGTAATGTCGATGTTGTCGACATATCTTGCTGCGTTGCATTGAATTCTGCTGCAATACTCCAGGTCAAATAATACAGGATGTCAGAGCAATTTGGGTCAAACGCTCTGTGGCCTCAGACCAGATCTTAACATCGTTGTACCCCAAAGCTCCATTTCCGAACATCGAAACGGTTTGGGGCTTAGGGACCCTACAAACCTGCACCCCGTTTAAAAGCAATGCAGGCGCGAGTCGCCTGCCGAAGATGACTGCGACGTGCGCACGCTGCAGCCCCCGGGCTTGAGATGTGTCTGCTAGCGCTGCCATCATGCGCCAAGTCATGCTGCTCCGAAATACTAAACCTGTTGACCCAAATCCAGGAAATCTTTGATTCCTGAACACGTATCCTTCGTCTTGTTGCTGTGATTGAGCAAAGTGGGTGGCCTTCTTCATTCATCCGCTCAAGAGTTGTGCTTTGCTTTCTTCGCCTTTTATCTTCGGAGCGACTACGTCTGGCTTTCTTCTTGTCTGTCGGAGAAGACGTTTCAATTTTGTTCATTTTACGTTTTCGCTTTTAACCCTCCTAAAGCGAATTCGTCTGGCTTTCTCCTTCTTGTCTGTCGGCGAACACGTTTCAATTTCGTTAAGTTTATGTTTTTCGCTCTTAACCCTCCTAAAGCGAGTTCGTCTGGCTTTCTCCTTCTTATCTGTCGAAGAAGACGTTTCAATTCTTCTCATTTCATGGTTTTTGCTTTTGCTCCCCTTGAGCGAATTCGTGGGAAGGCAGTGATTTCGTCCGGGTTTTTCTTCAATTAAAATGAACGTTAACTGTTGCAGACCGGAAACTCCCAAGTTGATGGTTTCGACAGGGCCTGGGACCTGGATCCTAGATTGCATCCGGCAAATAACCAACTGCAAAATAACGGCTTCGACTATCAATTGTCTGCGCAGGGTTGTCAGTCAAACACTACTAATAATAACAATAATCAGCGGAATACTCTTTCTAATAAACGGAATACTAACACCAGCAAAGGAATACTAGTACCAACAGCGGAATACTGGTACTAATAATAACACCAAGATCACACGCACTTAAGAGGAATGCGACTACTAAAAGACGAATACCGGAATACTAGTATCCATAATATGCGGAGTATTAGTGCTCATCCGAGGAATACGAATGCTCCTTAGAGGAATGCTCGTGCTAGCATAGTACTAATAGAGTACTGATAAAAGTGGAATACTACTATTGATACGAGGAATACTCGTACTAATTAGAGGAATACTTGTACTAAGGGCTAAACCTATACCCTGCGAACCAGTAACTTGCACTTTAAAAAAACACAAAACTTCAGACCTCGCAACGAAGTTGCTGTTTGATTGTACTCCCAGAGCTTGTACAAGCTAACAACATGTAACTTGCACGTTAATCGTGGCCTCTAAACTCTCCGCGGAACCATAGGATCGAAACAAATAATCTTCAACTGAAACGAAATGCACTTGCGTAATCATTGTGTTTCCTAATTCGTGTGGCTTCTCCTCCTTGCGTGTCGGAGAAGACGTTGCTGTTCATTTCTTGGCTTTGAAGAGAGATTCAACTATATTACACTATTACAATCTTTTTTTGTCGCTTTTTACACCCTCCCACCCCCGCCCACAAAGCGCGTTTGGCTTTCGTCTTCTTGTCTGGCGTTGGACCCGTCCTCAACGACTTCGGGGCTGGGATCTCGTTTCAACTTCCTTTACATATGCAGGGCTGGGGGTCCAGAGTCTAGAGCGCAAAGGGAAGAAAGTTTAGGGCTATTGGGTTGGCAGGCGAATGGCATCTTCGCGGAGGTTTGGCCTTGAGGGTTTCTACTGGGGCCTGCAACCAGTCCGTTACATCGTCAAACACCTGCGCTAGAGCTTGCCTTGCTTTGGGTTGCAGTTGGTGTCGCCATGTCGAAAACAAGCTGCATGCATTCCCGTCCCCACCTCACGAAGCAGCCGTGGGCCCAGTTACTGGAAGGTATGGCTCACCTGCATCGCGAACGCAAGCAGCAAAGGCTTGATTTGTTATGAGGATGCTTGCGGCTTGCAGGGCGATCCGGAAAAGGGTTCGTTGGGTCCGTGCTGCTTCGACGCTTTAATCTTTATCTTTCTGAACCCTATATACTGTAGACCCTGGACCCCGACCCGCAGTTCCTGAACCCCAAAACCCCAACCTGTAGCCCTTCAAATAGCCCAAGCCAGAGCCCTTGCAGCCCTCCTCTTGAAACCCCGAGGCAGCCCAGTCCGCGTTGGCTGAGCATCTCTGGCGCAATGTGCCCCTTCGCCTGACTGGAGTCCCACCACATCGGATGCCCCAGCGACCCGGCGACCTTTTAGGGGTGCCTAAAAAGTAATCCCTAACCCTTCAGGTACCTACTATATAAGGCCCTAGAGGCTCTAGTACCCTATATTAGTAGGCACATGGAGGGTTAGTGTTTTCTTCGGCTTTTTCTCTTCTGAGACGTCGGGGCCTCACCGAGCCGAGGAGGGTCTTGGGGTCGGTTGTAGCATCACCTTTGCATGGGGAGAAGCAGGTGTGTGTCAGTATCGCGTGTTGCCCTCCACTCATTTCGCGGGCCAACGTACGGCTGCGACGGCACCTCAGCTGTTGTAGAAGGATAGCCAACGCACGTCCATGCAAGCCTTGACCGTTGCCGTGAATCCATGCCTTCAAGCAAAGGCGCCAAGACCAGGGCGGGGCAGGCGCTGCGCCCCGTCAATTCAGCTCCACCCACGCGTTTCACAGCTTGCGGCAGCAGACCCACTCGAAGGAAAAGAAACTATTAGAAATTGTCTGAACTGCTGCCTTCTGCACGTGTCCCAGCCAAACACACCCGAACCACGCAAGGCAGAGTTCGAACCACGCGGCTGCGGACCGCAGCGTTTTGCTCCAAAACAGCCTGACAGTTGGGCCGTCAGCCCCAGTGCTCCCCGCCTGCGAGTGGCAGCCTGAGACTTCGGATACTTCCGATGCGCGTGTATCGTCAGCACTCCGTCCATGAGCAACATGTCCATTCAGCCAAAGCAGCCATGACTGAGTCAAGGCGATGACGGACAGAGAAGTCCGGGTGGGGCAGTCCGTGGTCGCCGTGTGGTTCAGGGACCGCCACGATCAGTGGCGTCTCTACAGCACGGACGACCTGGACTTCGACTATGAGGAGGGGGAGGACTACCCTCGAGATGATGCAGTGGGCCGGCCTCTCGATCGCAGTCTAATCGTCGCGTCCATCTGGATCTTACCCTGCACCCAGACCAAGGCTTACTGCCCTCAAACGCATCACCCTCCCCCTCGCACGGATCCAGCCCGGCACCAGCGCTTTGGCCGCATTTGCGCGTACGGCACAGCAGCACAACTGCACCCGCCAAATCGAACCAAGGCCCAGAGAA